ATGTGGAGCTCCTTCATTTAATTTAATAAAACAGTTAAAAAGCATTTTTTTATTTTTCAAATAATAACACGTTTCAAGCCAGCAAGGTGGTAAATCGTCCCGGACCCAGATGATGTGGTGTGACTCGACTCTAGTGGCTATCAACTTAACTACACCACCAAACTATGCATGATTTGGACGATCAACCATGAAACTTTTGGGTCCCTACAGCAAATATAAGAATGATCTCTTTCTTTTACCAGTGAATCGAATGTAATTTCTTTGCATAAATCATTGATAAAAAGAGATTATAAAAGTTTTTCTTTATTGGGTTAATTTATCACTTTAAATATGTGCTACAAAACAAAAGTATGATTATCTCCTGCCTTTTTTTAGTAGATATCGAATTTTATCCTAATATTTCATATTAAAATTAGTAAATAATAATAATAGTAAATAATAATAATAATAATAATAATATTAATAATAATGATAATATTGATTAAATAATAAAATAATAAATAATAAAATTTTTTTTTAAAAATTAAAAAAGAAAAAAAAACAAGACTAGTGTACGATGTCGTTGTCATCTCTGACCAGCCAACCTACTGTTATCACCTACTCACAACCCTATAAACACTCCAACCCTATAAAACGTCCAACTTTCTCCCCTTCCAAACTCTTGGACACCCAAAAATTCTATTTAGCCATTACCAAGAGACAAAAACCCAGAAACCCTCAAGTACCGATCCTTCTCACCCTCATTTGACTCTCACTAGGCTTTCAAACATCCACATTCCACAAACCCAAGCTTACCTAGTGTCACACAACCACTCCCTACACCCTAAACCACCATACTAGCACCCTCGAGATACCCATTCAGACCGAGTTTTTTCCCTAACCTAGTTCCCTTTCAAATAGCCACAAATATAAACAAAAAATACTAAAAAAAGAAAAACACAGTCCTTGCCGTAGGTGATGAACCCAATGCCAAAAAGGTACTTGCAAAAAATATATATCAGTTGTAATTTATAAAAATAAAAAATAAAAAGAAGACAGAAACTTTAAGCTCAGATCTATGTCGATCAAGGCTATTTTCTACGAAAAAGAGATTGGATCTGAAAAGATCGCATTGAGGTGAGCTTCTGGAAGTTTCTTAGTGTTTTTTGACCACTGGCGGTAACCATCGGCAACGGTTGGCATGATGACCTGCGTAGCGACGTAGGAGATCGGACGCCGACAAAGCCCTTGGAGTTATCCCTGAAGCTTTGACTTTTTTTTGGGGCAGAAGGGGTAAAATAAGCTAAAAAAAATTTGATTTTATATAGAAGAGTAAAGCCCAAAATGACGTCGTTTTAGATCAAAGAGGATATGCACATGGATTCGGATCCGACCTGAGGTCCACACACTTGACCTAGTAATTTATCCTTCAGCTAACCTTGAATCGGTATGATCGAACCGCTTGCCGAACTGCCTCCATCCAATTCAATCAGATCGAACCATCGAATGACCCAGATCGGCATTAATCAGACCGTTGATCGGTCCGGTTCAAGCTTTTTTTTTTAAATTTTCTATTTTTTTATATTATTATTTTTATTATTTTGAGTTTTTATTTTTTTAATATTTATGCATGATAAATTTTTAAATTTGTTAGAATAAATATTTGATTGTTTTAAATAATAAAAAAATAAAAACAAAGTAGGATAATACCTAAAAAAAAAATAAATGTGCTAAAAATAATATTAATAATCTAAAAAATAATAAAAATTGAATAAATTTTTTTTTTAATTTTCGCTGCCTAGATGTTGGAGGGAAAAAAAACATGCTTCTACAAATAATTCTGCCTAAATGTTGTGGAATTATTATAAAAATTAAATTGATTAATTAAGAAAAAGGTATAAAAAGGATAATAAATAATAAAACAATAATAATAATAATAATAATGAATTTTCATAAAAAAGGGAAATATATGAAAAAATTTTAATTAATGTTCAAAAAGTATGAAAATCGAACTTATTCTGAAAAGCTACCTAGATATTGGAGTTTTTAAGGATGTTCACATTTTCTTTAACCTTAAAATCCAAACCTTAATTTCTAAACCCTAAATCCCTAAAACCCCGAAATCAAAGCCCCAAACATTGAAAACCCTAAAATCAAAATCAAAACTCCAAACCCTTGAAACCCTAAAATTGAAACTCTAAACCCTTTAAATCCCAAAACTAAACCCTAAATTTTTTAAACCTTAAAATGAAACTCTAAAACCTTTAAACCCTAAAATGAAACCCCAAACCTCCAAACTCTAAAATTAAACCTTAAACTCTCGAAACCTTAAAATCCAAAGCTTAAAAGCCTTAAAACTCAAACCAAAACCCCAAAATCAAATCTTCAAAATCCTGAAACCCTAACCTTTAAAACCTCGACTTAAGCTCTAACCAAGACCATCCCAAAATCCTAAGGACGCACATGATAATTTCACTTGAAATAATTTGTTTTCGAATGTCGCCTAGATAATGGAGTATTTAAGAAATTTTATTTCATTAAGTTTTTCATGCCAGTCCTTAATTCGCTTTAACAATAAAATGATAAGTTTTGATAAAAAAATATAACAATAAAATGGGATCTTAAATATAAACAGTCATACCTAAGCTTTGCCTAGATGTCGGAGAATAAGGGTGGTTTTATTATATTCAAGAACCTTACTTTAAAATTATATGTCATTACTTTACGTAACATCCATTAACATATATACATCATCATGTTATTCGTGTTGCATTTCTTTGTCTGTAGTTTTATTTACTATCTGACAATATCATCATTTATTTTCTCATATGAAATGTTTTACAAAAAAGAAATAATATTTAAAAAAATTTTGATATTATAAAATAAAATAAAAATAACATTTCGAAAGAAATAATTCTCAATACTTTACCTAGATGTTGGGGAGTCAACAATAATTATCTTTCACTAAGAATGTTATTTTCATTTATGGAATATTACGTTCAATCTTGAGCGAAAAGAGTTTATTTTAAATTCTACCTAGATATTAGAGAATTTTAAAATAATTCTTTAACTTAAAGATTTTTTTCGATATTTCTAAATAAAGAATTTTTGTAAAAATGTTTTTAAAAAATGAAAGGAATTCATATTAAATTTCAAAACAAAAACATTTCATCCAACATCAAAAATAGTACATGATTAATTACACTAATTTATGAGCATGATAGGGATGCAAATCCCTTTTCACATGTAATAGACTCCCAAACCCAACCTGATTTTCATAAACTGAAATTTATCTTTTTAATAAATTTTAAATTCGTTTTTATAATTTTATTAAAAAAATAAATTTTTAGGTGACCAATTACATTTTAAAAAAATTTGATGGTGACTTTTATTTTTATTTTTTTTTATTTTAAAACTTTTTACGTCTGACAATCTCAAAATGAAGACACCTTTGAATTTAATCCATGTGATCACTTTAACCACCGAGGCTTTCCCTATTGATCTCTGTATCGAAGCACCTTCAGTTTTCGGTTTCTTCATTTTCTTCTTGTTTATTTTTTTCCCATCTAGCTCTTTCACTTTATTCACATGCAATGGTTCGCTTCCTAATGTCTTGACTCTTCCATCGGCATTTTTTCTACTACTTATTATAGTATTTGATACATTCATTTACTATCATTGTCAAGAATGTGCTTTAATCTGCCTTGCACCCAGGCCTCACGATATTAATTATAATAGTAAATGACCTGAAAATCAATGATTCATAAAAGAGGATGAAGCAAATTCTGGTAATTTTTCTGCACCATTTATTCATCTTTCTCTTTTTGAGTTTTGCGTTTTCAAAAACTTAGTTAAAAAGGATTAAATAGACTTAAACATTTCGATTCATTGGGTGGCAAAAAATCAAGAATAGCATTTATTCTTTAATTGGCCGATCGGACCTTTTGAAGATCTGTTTGAGGCTGTTCTGCTGCTTCCAACCTGCGACCCCAATTAAATGTAGGCCTCAAGTTTTTGTATGCAAGTTGATATTAAAAACAGAGTTTAGTTACCTTATCAAGAATCAATTATCAGAGGAAAAAAAATCTATATAATTTTATAATGAAATAAAATCATGCAATATGACCTGACAGCACTGTAAACCCTAGATTGCCATCTCACAAGATATATACTTTTATGAAATAGTTGCATATATATCCTATGCTATTCCTACCAAACAAACTAGGGGAAACTTGCGATGGAGAGAGATGTGTGAATTATTGAGACAGCAGATAAGAGAAGGGTGATCATGGTGATGATGGTGTAACGAAGAAGAAGATAAGGGTCGAAATGAACATTGAGAAGGGGTGAAACTGGTAAAGATAGTTGAAAACAAATTAAATTACGGGGGTTGCCTGGTACTAGAGAAGGGGACCCCATTGTACCATAGGGTCTAGCACGGTGACCCATTTCTGTTGTGGGTCATAGGCTTACTCTGTCAATGCTTATAAGTGTCGTATGAGTCATTGGGAAATGGTCGGACAAAAGGCTTTGGTTGATCGGGGAAATAGCAAGATGCATGACCCCCTCCCATCCGTCTTTCCTTGCTTGGCTAAGTGCTAGCTGTCTCATCTTCAAAAGCCCACGCTCTTCATTCAATATTTCCACGACATTTCTCTCCGCAGAGAAAGAACAAAAAAAAGGACAGGTACTTCACATTGGGTTTTTCTTCTATTTTGCTTCCATACAGAAGTCATTCCCCATCACTAAACCTCACTCTCCATTAATCACTTTCCTTTCAATTTCTCTGTTCGGCAGTAAACAACTACCACTACCCCCCCCCCCCCGGTACTCTGTTTTTTGCCTGTCCTTAATTTTGCTTCCAAAATAAAGCCTCTTTGCAGCCGCCCCCCCCCCCCTATATTACTACACGCACTCTCTCCCTAGTTATAGTGTACTTTTCCTCCGCACGTTTAAAGAAACAATCCGTGGCGGATTTTGTTATAGCTCCAGTGGCTCTAACTCACCAATAGGGAAAAAAAATGACTGAGGAGCAAAATTCAGAGACAGAGAGCAGCTCCAATTCATTCTCTTCTCCTCCGACATCACCCTTATCTCCAGGGTCAACTCATTCACCTCCAAACTCAGCCCCTAGCTCAACGACCGCTTTAAACGGAAAACCTGAAACCACCTCAGGTAAAAAGATCAAAAGAATGAGGGATTCAAGCAAGCACCTAGTTTACCGTGGCGTCCGAATGCGAAACTGGGGCAAATGGGTGTCCGAAATCCGCGAGCCACGCAAAAAATCCCGCATTTGGCTCGGCACTTTCCCTACCCCTGAAATGGCAGCTCGTGCACACGACGTTGCCGCTTTAAGCATCAAAGGCAACTCAGCTATTCTCAACTTCCCTGAACTCGCTAACTGTTTACCTCGACCCGTGTCTTTAGCACCTCGTGACGTCCAAGCTGCGGCAGCCAAAGCTGCCCAAATGGACAAGTTTGACTCTCCATCATCTTCGACAACATCAACTAATTCTACATTGTCATCGTCGTCATCACTGTCGTCTTTGGTTTCTCAGATGGACTTGTCTTCAGGGTCAGACGAGTTAAGTGAGATAGTGGAGCTGCCAAGTCTTGGGACAAATTATGACTCGGTTGAGTTGAAGAATGAGTTTATGTTTGCGGACTCAGTGGATGGATGGTTTTATCCTCCACCGTGGCTTCAAAGCATGGAAGATTATGAGTATGTTTGTGATCAGTTAGTAGTGCCAGAGAGCGTTTTACTGAATGACTTCGAAGAAGGTTTGCTATGGGATTATTAGAGTTTTCATTTCCTTTTTGTGTTTGTGAACGTGAGTGTGTATCGTTTTTTTTTTTTTTTTTTTCTTTCTGGTTTTAAGCCCTATTGCTTTTTCTTTGAAGGGCTGAAACGCTGTCTTTTTTTCTTTCTTTCCCTCTGTTTATGTCATCTCTTTCAATGAATGCCACTTTACAGTGTTTAGAATGGGAAGAAGAGGAAAGTATCATAAAGTCTTCCCTTTTGGTTGGTCCCAACACGTTGAGGCCTTAAAGCGTTTCTTACCTCTCTCTCTCTCTCTCTCTCTCTACCATAACCCAAGCCTGAAATCTAGTTCAACAATGAAAATTCTATGACTGTTCTTTTATTAAAAAAAAACTGTAAGTTTCTTTGAATATATATTATTATAGTAATAATAATGAAAGGGTATAGAGGGAGTCGAGTCATGAGTTGACCATGGAATCATCTTCTACAACAATAATTTGCAATTGGGAATAGGGAAAACATATATTAACAATTAATCTTTAAAAAAAATTTAAGGAAAAGAGAAAGGAAAAAGGAATGTAATACTCCATTGTCATGAATGCTGAGGTTGGCTTTTGGCGGATGGCAGATGGTGGAATACGGTGAGGTGTGAAAGTGACAAATTTCCCCATTAGGGTAACAGTATCTATCTAACCTTTTCTGCCTTTTAACTTTCCACAAAAAATATAATCTCTTTGCTGTGCATCGCATCGATCTTAGTTGAACAGTAAGTAGTTGTGTTTTTCCTTGTTCGGTCAGCTCTGCTTAGATTTTTGTTCTTCTTTAGATAGGGTTAAAAATGGTGGTTACCTTCCTCCCATTGTCCTCGTGCATGCAATAGATTAATTCATTTTTCTTTTTTTTTTTTCTCTTTCTAGATATGAGACCAATCAAGGCAAAACATTTGTTAATCCTCGGCAAAGAATAATTTAAGGATGGATACTCAACCGATGTCAGGAATTTTGTTGCGTACGTCCTCGTTGAGTATTGTTTGATGTAAGGACTTAGCTTTTACTTTTGTTTTATAATCAGATACTAATAGAAAATTATATGATTTATTGATAAATAATTAAAATTAAAATTTTAATTTTAATGATTTGAATTTAAATTTTGATATATTTAATTATTAATAATGAGATGCTAATTAAATAACAATAATCCTTTCAAAACAAATCAATAAAAATAATAATTTATTTATTACTAATTTCCTAGCAAAACTCTAAATTAAAGTACGGTTAATATATAAAATTATAATAAGATAAAATAAAATGATATTATAATTAAGATTAGATTAAATAATATTATTTTATTTTATATTTGTTATATATAATGATTAAAATAAAATAATTTATTTGTTGGTTAAAATTATTTTTTAAAAATTTATATAATTTATATTATTAATTTAATTTTTAAGTGTACAATATATAAATTGAATCTTATTAATTAAAAATATTCATCTTTATTTTTAAAAAATCAAATAATTTTATATCAAAAGAATAATTAACTATTTTTATAATTATATCATTTTATATATATAAATTAAATATAATATAAAATAATTATTATTTTATGCATAAAAACGTAATTTTAAAATTACTATATATTGAATATGGAGCATATTTGGTGGGGGCTCCATGTTTCCATTTCATGCTTGACAAATCTGGTGTAATTTTTATGGTTGGATGGCATGATCGCCATATTCACCACTCATGAAAAGTGCATTTAGCCAGATCACGCCCACGTACGCCCAATCCCACTCACTTTTTATCTCTCTAATCTTCTCTGAGGGGCTATATGGTACATTACACCAAAGGAATAATGCTGTCTTTTTTCTGCTAATCTGATTAATGAACGGGAACACATGTTTTGCTTTTTTGATGAAAAAAAAAATAAACAGAATAAATAAATTAATATTTGTGAATTGTTCATGAAAGTGATCAATTTCCAATTAGGATAAATAAATTATTTAAAAGACTGGCTTTATGTATCATAATCATCCATATCAACAGTCAATTATAGTTAGATTACAAATCAGGGCCACTTTTGCCAGACTATTTAGGAATAGTAATGTGACGGATTTTTATTTGTCTTAATTTTGACCTAATTTTATATATATATATAATTTAAATTAGATAATATTTTTTTAATATTCGAATCCGATTTCATTTATTATTGTATAAAATTATATTTGATATAATTTAATTTAAATTAATAAAATATTATTTTTTAAAATATAAAATATTATTTTTAATATAAATATAACATTAAATAAATATATAAATATATATAACTATAAATTAATTAATTAAAAATAATTTTTTATATATATATCAAGTTGGATCAAGTTTACTTAAAATTTAATCTTGATTCGATCTTGATTTTTTCCTACTATTATCCAATCAGACTCAATATTCAATTTAAAAAATAAAAAAAAATCTTAAGAAGTTATACGAATCGAAATCCATGATACAGATCGGATTGTCTTCCCTAATACTATTGAAGAATTGAACTTATGATCCCATACTTATCTACTTTGTCAACTGTCACGCAATCAAAATAGTAAAAAAACAGAATATGAAGTCTCGAAAAAGAAATTTTAAATCTTGAGATCTTATGCTTAAATTTTACTATTTTTGACTTCGGTCAAATTTTATGCTAAAATTTTCTAATTATATAGTGGTTGAATCAATCAGTTGATTTGTTTATTTAATTAATTTTATACATAATATTTTAATATAATTGTAATTTTTCTTTTACTAGTAACTTTATAAAAAGCAAATAACCATGTGACATTATAAAAGTATAAATAGATATACTATTGGAAAAACATTACTCCCAAGGCAATGGAAGGGTCCAAGTACAAGATTTTTTTGGGTCAAATACTAGTATTAATTCCACACATCTTGAGTTATGTTCAACTTAGTTTAATACTATTGTTTAGTCTTTACGAAAACTGCTACTATTATGCAATATGACTAGCTTTCTATTATGGGTAATGTAAAAAAATGCTCCATTCTTTGCCAACCAAACTGCAAATGGATGAAAGCAGATATTCTTCAAGCGAAGGGGGGAAGTTCACTGTACATGAATGTCTGTTTCATCCATGTCAGATGTGAGTTTAGCTTTGATCTTATTTTTTGTAGAAAATGACAGAAATCCAGCTCTTGCAGATTTAAGAAAATATAATAAAATAACCCATTTTTCTGTGTGCTCATTTCTTTACTCTAGTTAGCCTTGTGCAAGACTATTTTATAAAAATAAAGCCAATAAATGTTTATATATATATATATATATATATATAGGTAATGCTTCAATCCCTAATAGGCAATAAGATAAGAAGTTTTAATATTATAATTATCTTTTTTATTTTTAGATCATATTAAATTTTTGATTTATTATCAAATGATATTGTATAAATTCAATTCTATGATTCATTCATCTAAAATTTTATGTTTCAAGTAAACTTAAAATAAAAAAATTAAAAAAAATTCATTTGAAACATTATTTATGAAATTAAAATGTTCTAATAGGTGAAACTAAAAAAAAAAATTATAAAAATTTACAAATTATTAGTTATTGACTTTGAAGCTTTTCATTGATAGCAAAAATATCATAAATAGTTTTATAAAGTTATCTTCACATTTCAAATATGTGATGCATATTTAATTTTAATAAGAGTAAATAAATAGTCAAAACAATATAATAACTATTAAAACCTTACATAAAACCGTGAAATATCTAAAAAAAAAAAAACTCTAAACATATGTCTATTCACGGGAGAAAAAAATAAAAAACCCAACCATATTTGAATCACTGTATAGAAGCCAACTTTTGTTGATGCCAAAAGCTCTATCATTCTGTTAAAAGCACAGTACAATTAGAGATTAAGCTAATGAGCATCAATATAATCTTTGAAAATAAATAGATTAAATTAAATATATTGTTCAATCTGAAAAACTTTTAAATCCATCTTTCAGTGACACATTAAAATTGGATATTAAACCTCTCAATATAGCCATCATTTTAAAAATTAATTAAAACACATAATAGACAAACTTGAAAAGCAAATAGAAGTGGTTCAGCAGCATGACCGAATAGGCAAAAAGTTTTTATCTTCCAATTGGACAATTCTAAAATCAGTTCTCCCAAATGCTTCTATCTATAAAACGTACCAGTTTTAACTTCTTTCATCAGTTTGCTTGTGCAGTACTGGCCATATTAAGAAAGCTTTTTACTCAAAACAACTAAATTAAAAAAAAAAACGGGATAGTCTATCAGACAACCTTGTGACCATCCCAGCCGGTTAAACACCATGCTGAGAATGATCCTCTAGTGATCCAGCTGGTCTAACAGGAACCAGAAAGCTGTTAATCACGCTCTGATCACCAGGTCATGATTCATCAACTAGACTTGACAACAAATTGAATATTAAATCATAGTTTTAAGTACCTCGTGCCATATCTAGAAGCACCGTCTTATTTTCTTGGTTTGTCATTACTCATAACAGGTCATCCATACATGCCTCTAACATAAATAACCCAAAAAAACCAGACCATAAACACGATTAGAAAAAAAATTTATAAGTAATCATGTCATAAGAAGTTGGAGATTTACTGGAAGATTCCTAATCTAATATCATCTTTTGGGCTGTTACCATTCCCTGACCCGCAGGATTTTTGCATATGTACATTCATCTCATCAAGACCCAATATAAACCAACCAAAACAACAAAAATTTACATGATTGCATAAGCAACATCATGGAGCCAAAACTTCTGGGTTAACTTCAAGGCTATACCAAGTGCTTTAACACTCATGACCTGTCAAAGAACACTCTTAGAAATAACAATCCTTAAAGAAGGCAATACCATTCACCAACAAAATTAAGTTTCCAACAGGCTGATACCGATGCATACCGAAATAAAACCCACGAAAGAGCAAACTCCAATGTAAACCATAATGTGTGTCTATCCATATTGTGGAACGAAGTGAAATATAAGTAGGGGTGTAACAGAATAGAGCTTTGGATGGATTTTTTGTGAACATGTTCGATTTTTGTTCATTTATGTTTATTTATTAAGCTTAACAAATAATATTGAATATTATTTGTATGTTCGTTTATTAAACGAATCAAACACGAATAGTTGTTTGTTCATTCATTATATTCATGAATAAATTTATTTACGGTTCGTTTAAAAC